TACAGTTTGTCCTGCTCAGAATAGGTCTCAAAATAAACTTCCAAGTCTCAACATCTGGGTTGCATAATTTGTAATCTCCATAACAATGAGTCACCTAATTTATTTTTTATAAGGTATTTGTTCGACCACATTTAGAGTACTGCATGTTTATTCTTAGTAGTGTTCGCACAAAGGATAAATGGATGCTGGAATCCATTCAGATACGATTTACACTTTGCATTCTTGAGACTGATTGTATATTAAATTATAAATCCAGTTGTAACAGACTTTGACTTGACCCTTTATGAGAGCGTAGAGTTAAATTCAAACTAATATTTTTCTTCAAAGTACATAATAAACTATCTTTTACATCCAATGAAGCAATTTAACACGCAGAAATTCCTAGTTATAGCATATGTAACTTTGTCAGTGGTGAAACAATCTCATTCTAAATCTCTTCATATGAATTACTTTACCAGTAAATTTTCAAGGCTCTGGAATAATTTACCACAATCTCTCTGTGAAATAATATCAATCCCAACCTTTTTTCACTGCTTACACTTTTAAGAATACTCCATTCCACAAATGAGACTATAGAGACTCTGTATGTCTAATTTTTTTATTTCTGAGCTCATTAAGTAAACCCTTATATTCAGGTACTTGACAGACACAACGTCATTGACAACCTTAACTAGTCTGAATAATATTTAACACGAATAGTAGAGTATAAAATAACCCGATACATCTATTGTTGCAGATATGACTGAATGACCTATTGAAGTAATCATTGCTTTGTTGTTCCGTGCTTTCTGTTTCCGTTTATTTTCCTCTAGTTATAGATGATTACAATCAGTCCGTTATGGCATTGGAAATAACCTTAAATATACCGTCCATAGATCAAAAAGATTCTCACTTAAAAATAGTAAATAGTTTCCGACTGACGCCTTGGATTGCTGGAATACATGTGAAAAATGTACTGCCTAAACAATTTCAGAACTAGAATACTTTGCTCAATCTAATATTACATATATCCTCTATCTTTAATATTCTTATCTATGTCAAGCTGATCACCCCTGTAAACCAACATAAATTCTGTAATTATTATTTTCAGTGTATATTTATTATTAGGTGGTTTTCTGTGTACCAAAGATTTTCCTTTCGCTTGAGTAAAAGTTTCATGAGATGACTCTTCAATATAGAAGGCATCACAAACAATATATTCTAATCTTTAGACGAAATTCTGTGTTGTGGATCTTATTCTTTATAGGAACTAAAGCATTTAGAGTGGTATTAGTTGTTTTGTAGTACATTTTATTTCTGTATTGTTCAAAGACATTTTGGGGTTGTATTGAACTATGGCAGTATGGAAAAATTACAGTACCAATTTATGGTATTTTATTCGAACTATTGGACTTTTAATGATCTTCATATGAAAATTATTAAATTGTAAAATGTTACTTTTATGCCTCCGTTCCTTTTTGTCTACCATCTTCAGATGTAATAGCCTTGTTTGTTCATTCAAAGAGATTTAGGACCAGAGAGATTTTTGCACTGAATGGATGTATTGAAGTCAATATAATGATTAAAATGTGTAAGTTTTTAGTAGATAATTAGATTTAGAGCTCCATTTAGATTTCTTATTAATAAGCAATCTAAAAATGATAGCTCACCAAGTTCACTTTCATTCTCGTAATTACATTTGATATGGGATGAGAACGTATCGGTCAGTTTATAAAAAGTTTATAAGAGTTTCTTCCTTTTCATGACAACAAAAGTATCTATCCATATATCCGGCCCGAATTCATGGTTTAATTTCATCGGCAAAAATATTTGATTCTGTATATGACATTAAATAGGCTGGAAACGAGTAATCTCATTATTGACTCTGTTTACTTACTTGTATAACGTCACTTCATGATATCAGTTATGTTGATTTTCCATTATTTTGATAATCACAATTTCTAATATTTTGTTATGTCAAGTTTTCTATTCCCCATTTCTTAAGTTCTAATTCAAAATCTCTATTAAAGAAATTGTTTTTATAAATTCTGGTCAATTTATTCTACTGGTTTTTTTCTTCTTAGGATTACTTAATAAGTGATGCCAATTTTTTTTTCGCTTTTTATAAAACATACTTATCTCTATGCGATAATTATATTTGAAATAATCTCAGCGATGGTAACTGACTAATGTTATCCTATTTTACGAAAATCAATATCCATATATGATTGCATTAACACAGCATCGATTTGATTGTTAAAAGCTATATATTTCTTTGATGATTTGGATTTTGATTATTATCCTGAAGAAATTCAGACAAGTTAGCTGGACGAAACGTTGAGATTATCTAAATTTCAATCTCTGAGATTAGTTCAAATATAATTATCGCATAAAATGTCTTTTCTATATACTCGGCTCCTAATTTCTGTCAAACTATTCGTCCTAATCTTGATGAATATTCATACAAAAACTTATCTTTACATTTTCTAGCCTTGATTATTCTTGCTGGAATATTCATTTTTGCTATAAATAGTTAACCACTATAGATGATGATGACGACGACGACGATGATGATGATAATGATTTCGTTCTTTTTTTCTACTTTGATTAATTTTAGATATTCTGACCTAATCAACACTTTTCTCCAGTTCACCTGATATCATAACAATGGTGATTACGATCTATTCTAAGTTATAAATAGTTAAGGTGGATCTATGAAATAAATAGTCAATTCATATTTTCTCTACCATAGTTGTATAATTATTGATTTGTTTTTAATATTTTTTTTAAAAATGTTTTTGCAAAATGAAGCCTATTAAATGAATATTCTGCTGTACAATGTTCAATGATTTTTTTTCACTTACCATCTCTTATGTATTTTCATATAGATGTATTACATTACTTACTTAATTAGATATTGTTTAACTCTTATCATGAGATATACTATTGAAAACAATAAACGTCATTTATTTATCATAAGTGGTATTAGGAACTTGAGTGAACATAATTGTAGTATATACATACATTTTTATGCAGTTAGGTTAAATAGATTTGTAGACCGGTAAAATACACTAAAGTCATATCACTTATGAATGAATGAAAAAAAAGTAGATATAAAAAGTAATCAATATGTACTAGCACAGCAATAGGACATATGTACACAAAAAACATACAAACTTTGAGATATCATTTATCAAAATAATATCTATGTACGGAATTTCAAAAAAATGGTTAGTATCTCATATATTTATTAGTTAAATCATGTACAGTAGTAACCATAGTACTTGTATAAAAATAGAGTGGACGCGTCATAAGTTCTTTATAGGTTGAAACTTTATCAATCGTAATCATAATGATAATTTTCTTGTCCAATAATACAGATTTTAATACACACAACAATCCTCACAACCAATTATGCAGTATTTCAGCAAATATTATTTTAATCTAGATTCCTATTGTGGCAGAACTGTATTGTAACAACGACACCGAAGGACTTATCAGCCAATCAGAAAAGATTTAAGCTATAAAGCAGTTTATAATCGAAATTAATTAAATCAAAATGAAGAGTTTCAACATGGTTAATGAATGAATAGAGGTGAGAACTATCAGTCCCAGCAGAGTCAGGAGCTAAGATTATGGTCTTTACTACGAATTCACATCAACTGTAATTCAAGAGTGTTTTGTCGCAATATGCTTGAGTTAATTTGGCGGAAAAATTAAAGATGCACTATCTCACTAGTCAGGATTTTCACAAAATGATATCACCTGTAATTATAGAGCCACAGCATAGGTAAATATATTTTAGCAGCCCAAACCTCTAACTGTCGCTCAAATCACATCGAGTACATCCAATGTGTAATCAGTATCTTAGATCTGGATATATTCGGTTTCTACCTAACTACCATCCTGTGTGTTCTAAATTTCGTGCAAAGATAGTCGCTACCTAAATTCTTATTGGTTCCCTAAATGTTGTTATCTGCCACCTACCCAACAATCATGAAAGTTCCTCACTAATTTAGCTGCTAAAACTGCTACTCGTCCATTAAATGATGAATATATTGTAGTTGTCTTCTTTTCCTTCTAAGGTTAGACAGTGAGATACATACGCCAACAACTTTGGTGTTTCTATTCCGGTTTCTTAATACTTAGCATAGCAATAGATGGTGTACTTTTTATTATATTTATATCAGCTCTCCTACAACCAATTTCGATTATGGTTAATTTTTGCTAAGCCCTTTTATTAACTTACTTAAAAGACAATGTCATTCGAACAGTAACAATTCATCTATTTTTTTGGTACTATTATGATCATTAACCCGTTTGTATAAACGTGTACGCTTGATCACATGACAGCCTACGCACATCTCTCTAGGTAAAATGTTGATCGCTCGATGAATCATTCTCTCTCCGTGTATATACGTACTTGAATCCTATGATTAGACTTTCTTTTGCCTCGCTGCACCTTGATTCGATTTGACCATAAATTTGCTCGCTTACACATATTCGTCTGTGCTTCAAATTCACTCGATGTGCTTGTAACTATGTTGTCTGTATTACCCCCTAATAAACTGTAGTCACCGCTTCTTATTGCCTTATTTCAAACATCGTTGGGATTTATATAAAAACGGTTATCAAGGTGATTGATTAACGAAGCTAAGCCACTACAAATTGGGTAAGTGTATAAGGTTAACAGTCGTAGTTATCCAGTTAAATAAATTAAACACGAAGGTTAATCGGTATATTTATTCATTTGCAATAATAAGTATCCCAAATGTTTTAATAGGTAACCAATCAAAATATGAGTGGATGATTTTTTCTTAATTTCAATTATGATGACTACTCAAAAGTACAGTTCCTTAAAGTAGATTTATGCTAGTTATTTTCATCATACACTGTAATGAACTATACCACAAAGAAGGAAAGCAAATCTTTAAGTTGGCCTACATAAAGACTTATTTATATACTTATGCAGCTTATTCGGGGAGATGTTAGGAAGGGATCATGTGTTCAGTTATATATTAATGCGGCGTAAAATTAATTATGATTATTTAAATAGTATGGATTGTAAAGTAAATTGATGACGCTTAGTCTCTCTGATAAATATCGATTAATCTACAGTGATATATTTCGTCATCTCAATACAGTATCTAAAATATGTATATTAGTGAGTGTATTATGATGTTGTTGAGAAGTGATAGTTACCTTTACTACTAAAATAGAACTGTCGACAATAAATATATTGAACGACACTGGGTTTGCTCCTTGGTGACGGGGTCGTGAGAGTGGATTGCTGAGGAGTCCCATGCTAGGACGGGACAGCTATCCTGTGCTTAATTAGATAATTTAAGAACAAAACTGAAATATTTCCAATGCGTAACTTGATGTGTAGGCGAGAATGATGATAGGTTGTCTGCTTAATCAGATATGTAGATAGTCTGACAGATGTCAGATAAGTTATATATTCCCTTATCCTTATTATTGTGACGAACTTATTATTGATTGTTCATTGTTGTGGATTGTGTCGGTTTTTGGTTTTGAAATATATTTACGTTGTGGTCAGGCTAATTACGTGTTCTTGATCTGAGTTGTGTTGAAGTCCTGTAGAATAGATACTGGGAGGGATCTAGTGTAGATAATCGTTTAAGGTAAATTAACGTTCCATACGTGTAACGTGGAGACCCAATCGTTATAACATTAGACGAAGTAAACCGCGAGCGTTATAGCATAACTACAATTAAAATGATAGAGAAAAAATCTTTTTTTAAAAGCTCTTTAATCTTTGATCATATTAGTTTTAAGGTAAGTGTTTATGCAGTTTAGTAGTTTGAATAATAAATAATCAAAATGAAGTACTTATGTTGAAGTATTGTATTATATAAATATAAATACTAATAATAATAAATAAAACATATAGGAAATATTATCTGGATTTTCGAAAACGTTTCTCAAGTAGGTAAGGAATTTCGTCATAAATTTGCACCAATTAGCAAACTAATAAAAATCGTGAAATAATAGACAGTTGTTTTGTCCTGCATTCGAATCCTTCAAATGTGGGTATTTTTAATGCAGTATCATTACGGAGAACAAAATCTCCAAACTTTTGTAAACAATGGGGATGTGGAAAAACCTTTGTTATTAGGTAAGTCTACCTTAGACAGAGTGTCCTGGATACTGACATCTATCAAATCTGAGTAGTCAACCATTCAACAATATGCTTAAGAAAAACCTGAAATTTTGAATATACCAGTAAGTAGCTTCCAAAACTGATTTGATCAATAGGACTCGATTAGGAAAAATGACTAAATAAATATGACATAGGTCCCTACTCAGTGATCACAATGTAAATACAATTATTTATTGGCAATAAAAACAAAATTATCACCAATATTTTGATAATGATCAATTATTCAGACATAAAAAGTATTATATGCAAAGGTGGTTAGCAGTGGAATCCAGGACACGCGTTTCGTTATATTTGGGACTAGTCAGATGGATGTACCTGGATCCCAGATTTGATGTTCACTCCAGAACTTGAAGCAATATCGAGGCAGTCCACACAAGATACACATATGTTAATAACAGACTGATCAACTACAGTCTTAAACATCAGTGGGAAGTTTCAACAAACAATACAAAAAGAAAAAATATCGTCTAAATTTTTATTTATGTAAGATACATCAAAAGATTGATTTGTTACTAGTTTACAAATGTCCGGATATCGATTTGTTAATTACGGATCCATCAATTTACTTATTCTTTAATGTATACTCTAAAAAAGGCTTTTTTTTTACAATTTATTTGTCATTATTCTTTTATGTGTTCATCTAAAAAGTATCTAATCAAGTGTAGTTGCGTTAACTTGTGGTGGAAACGGGTTAAAGGGATGAAATTGGGTAATGTTGGAAGTTATGCGTACTCATTAAATAGTTGATTAACGAGATTTTTCTTTGTATCATCGTAATTGTGAGCATTCATTCAAATCAATAATTACTGTGATACCCTTTGCTTTGTTACTTAGTATCATAAAGGACTAAATGTTTACGTTCAGAGATTTATTATTTGAGTTGTGGCTTTGAATTCAATGTGTATATTCGGTAAACTTTGGGTGTCTGAAATATACCAAAATAATAAAACAGAAAACTATGTAACTGGCTGATGTTTATGCTCGATCTTTGATATATAAAACAATAACATTATTGATATTATTTCATTAGCGTTAATAAGGGTCACAATAATTTGCATTATTAATCATATGCAAAACGAAAGAAGAACATTCAGAATTGTTTATTCGATCGCTTTTTATTTATGAAACAAACTAGACATAACTGGTAAGTGGATTTAGTTACTCAGAAATAGTAATCAAAATTAAAAGGTAAACATTAGAAGAAAGGGATTAAGTACTCAAAATAGAACCAAAGTATACAATTAAATGAGTTTTGTCAAAACTTATGATTACATTTTGATAACTACAAGAAAAATAAAAACTAAGACCAATTATACCTTTGAGCTTATATGGTCTAAATCATTTCTGAATTATTTAGTTTATTCATTTCTTTATATCAGTGGAGTTGTAGTTTATTGATTGAGGAGTTCGACTTCTAACTATCAAGTTATAGGTTCGAACTCCAATTACCTGCTTTATCTTAGGAAAATATATATTTACACTAACCCTCACAATTAGAATGTAGTTCAAATCTAAGTATGCGAATTTATACCTGTTAAATGCATTAGTTAGTGGATATAAAACAAAAGGTATCGTAAAAATATATTTAAAATGTAACATATGCTAAACAAAAATTACTAATACAATAATGGACTCTCATTCGTTGATTTACGGTCAATAGCAAAATCAAATTTAAATAATCAAATGGAAAACAAGGTATTATTATTATTATCATCAACTTGTAGATCTTAATAAGCAATGATGGATAGTGGCTAGCAGTGAAATCCAGGACGCGCGTTTCGTCCTATTTAGGACTCGTCAGCTGAATGTACCTGCATCTGAGAGTTGATGTTCACTCTGGGACTTGAACCCAGTACCATTCTCTTCAAACGCCATCGTGTTATCCACTCAGCTACTGAGTCTTGATAGCCACTTGCTTGTGCAATGGGGTGAATTTAAATTCACCATTTAGATCCATTATTGCTTACAAAGCTTGTGAATTAAGGCCATATCGAGGCATAAGCACAGTATGCACATATGTCAATAACAAACTGATCAATTGCAGTCTTAAACCTCAATAGGAAGTTACAAGCCAAACAATACCAAGTGAATAGTAGATCTTAACTTTAAATAATTCTCATCATTTGATATCAATCAAAGATGAATCGAATAACCACTGTCCAATCAAATTAAGATTTCTATCTTTTTTAAAAAAATAAATACTCAACGGTGTATACTTACAAAGATTTGAATTTAAAAATTCCCTTGTGGACAGTTTGTTTTCATTGATCAATTGATTATTGTTTAAACTAACAGTTTTATAAACTTTCGCCATGTGAAAACTATATTTTCTGTGTAAAACGATATTATGTAATAAGTAATATAAATCAGATTATACTGAAAAATTATACGGGTTTATTTCATGAACATTTTCCCATACCAGTACAAAAGCTTTTTAAGTAAGTAGTTGATTATTTGGAAATATAGTGCTGTATATTTGTACATTGATATTAATTACTGAGATAGTTTTGATCAAAGAAATGTCTTCCACTGTATGTGATTTGTTTTTTTTCTTTTTCAAAGAAGGAATAGAGAATGGAGTTTAATTGAACGGGGGGGTATACAACCTTATAGGTTGGTTTTTATATTTTGAATCATTTCTGTAAAAAGTAATTCTGTGGTTTTCTACTAATAGTTTCTGTGGTGTTTGAATGAACCAATGATACCTTGGTACTGGTTGAATGTTTGATTTCGAATTCTAAATACAGTACATTCGTTGTGCCTGTGTCTTCTTAATTGAACTGCGTTAATCCTGGAATTCCTAATTCATACGACAATTAGAATACTATACTGGCGTCGTGATAGAGCCTGAAATGGAAAAGTTGGATATTCATTCAACTTCGGAAGCATTTGAGGATTATTTGGAAAGGTTCGACATCTGGAGCATGACCAAGAAAGATATTATAGGTGATAAAATTGTGGCACACTTCCTCACATTCATTGGGAGAGAAGCGTACAGCTTATTAAAAACTTTGGCATATCCAGAAAAACCTATCTCACTCCCCCATGCAACGCTTAAAGAGCTATTATTAAGTCATGTAAAATGCACCAGTTTTGAATGCCGTGAAAGGGCGAAGTTTCATAAGATGGTTCGTCAAAATGACCAAAAGGCTCGGGAATTCATCCTTGAATTACAGAAACAAGCTGCCAAGTGTAATTTCGGTGATCAACTTCATGTGCAACTGAGAGATCGATTAATTGCAGGAATTAACATACCGAGTTTGGAAAGAGAGCTGTTAAGAATGCCAAACTGTTCCTTTCAAGATGCTAGAACTGCATGTATTAACTACGAAGCAGTCAATGAACTTGATATCCAGTCGATGAAGATTTCTAATACTTTGCTTATACTGATTATCATCATTTATAACTGATTATTTATTGTTGTATATTTCATATTTCAATTACGCAATGGCTAGTTACTTATAAAGAGGCTCGAGTAGTTAAATAATTTACTCAAAATTGACCAGTCACAAAACAAATTTTTACATAGTTGCTTGACAATAACAGTTAAAAACAACAAGAAAGTTGATAACTATCCCTTCTTAGTGCTTCGAAGGGATTTTCAGAGTTGTACACCTTTAAGTTCTACGGTGAACACAAAACGTCATTCACCCATTTAGTATTCAATTTTCACTACCATTAACTGATATAGTCGGCAGGTAACAACTCAATTTCCAAGTTGGTTGACTTCTTATTAGCAAATAAGCAAACTCCATTGTAAAACTACTTACAAGTGAGTAAGTGGTTATTGACAGTTTAAATGGTTTTTTGTAGATATTACACATTATTTTCGAAAATTTAACTTGATTAAATGACTAGAGTTTTGTTCTCTGAGCTGACAAAACCATCCATCTCAGAGAACAAAACTCCATTAAAATCATCCACCTGAGCTACAAATCTTGTCCACCATCTTAAATGACTAATTATTAACTTGATTGAGTTGTGCTCTTTTATAGACCTATAATTCTGAAGTATGATCTTATGTGAAGGGTATGTAGGGATTTATGATTGTTGATAATTAAGTAGCCGTTATTCATCTATTTTCAATGGTTCTCCATTTGATATCATTCCGTATTATGATATTGTATGTTCATTTGATAAGAAATCAATTAAATTAAATGAATTCATAAAACATTTCACAAATGTTACACTGGTTTAATCATTCAAATTTATTGATTAGGTGCTGTAGTCAGTGTGTTTTCATTTTTTTTAATAAAAAAAACACACCCAATCTAGTTGTCATATTTATCATTGTACAAGCATATCATTGAATGTAAACATCATTATTATAAACACTAATATCCTAAGAAATATCTTGTTGTTTAGGCTGACAATGATTGATTTGGGTTTGTTTTTAGTAATAAAGAAATGAAAACGTAAGCGAATGTTACAGATAATTAAAACTAGTGAGTTGGTGTTACTTGAAACATTCTATATGAGATAGTCTTAAAAAAGGATGATTATTTAAATATACTTTATAGACCGAATTGAAATGGTAATGTAATAGAGTTTCTAGTCCTGGAATATTCAATATTTTGGTGTTAAAAGTAATTTATAAGTTGAATGATTTATTCGTGAAGTTTTTATCGTCTTGTTGGATTACAAGATCAGTGCATACATAAAAAAAGAGTAAGCTATTAGAATTTCTCTACTAATGACTAATACTTTGTTCTGTTGACCTAAAATTCGACCAGTTATTGAACATAACTGGAAAATCAGTAAAATAACCACTTATGGGGAAATTCTAAAAACTTACTTCTTTTTAAAGTATTTGCTAATGACATTGTCTAGAATGATAGTAAAAGCTTTGGGACTGAACTATCCAACTTATAAACTATATCTTCAAAATCTTCAACCTGGATTAAAATTATTTTCCATCATCCGAATTTAATAAACAGCTTAGTCAAATCAGTGCACAATAGAAATACAAGTTTTGTAATAACATTTCACAATTCCATTTGTCAATATATTCATTAAATTAAAGAGAAGGTAATTGAACTATGAATCTTAGTTATTATCTTACAGTTATTACCAACTGACTTCAGGAGATACTCCTGGAGTTCTAGTGAGAATTCGTTACCAGTGAAGTTCAACCAGGTCTGTTGTGAGATAGGAACTCACTAAAGACAATGGTGATGGTGGCGCAACTTCGTGGATTGATTGAAGTTAGATATTAACACCATTGGATGCCGGCTCAGTGGTCTAGTTGGTTAAGAGCCTGGCGCGAGACCGATAGGTCCTGGATTCGAATCTCGCGGGGTGCGGGATTGTGGATGCGCACTGCTGAGGCGTCCTATACTGGGGCGAAACGGCCGTCCAGTGCTTCCAGGTTTTCCATGGTGATCTAGCTTCAACTGACTCATGATTTCAATCTGTGTAATCTCCACAAAACCAATTCTGATGATTATTATTCTGTCGACTCTGGAACGGTTTTAACATTTCTAATGTTAATAGGAAATGTATGCTTAAATAAACTTCAATCAGTTGAGCTTTCTGAAAAAAAATCATTAGAGAACTGATATAAGGATGTTTTTTAGCGACCTGCTGAAGCACAAATTGAAATACAACTGAAAAAAGAAGAAAAAGTAATTGAAATTGTATGATTTTCATTTGTAAAACTTCATTCATTTTAATAGTTTGTAAAGAATTGGTAAATTTGATTGTCATTTTTAATAAAGATTTACATTAGATAAAACTTTTATAAAGCCAAAATCTCAAGTAATCTTTTGAAAGAATTTGAATGAATTGAATATATGGCTTGTAGGATATAATATAGATGTTATGAGATGTTATTTGTAAATATCTATTCCTAATTTTTGGCTTGAATGACTGAATACCTGTCTAAAAATGTCAGCTTTTGATGAAATATATACCTGTAATTGAAGTATAGTTTATTTGATAGAATGATCTACATGGGATGATTGCATACATCTCTGCACACTGAAATTAAAATACTAACTACTTCATTTCTAGTTTTCATGAACTTTTAGTATCTGTACAATGTTTATGCCTAGAATATTATCTATTAGAACGAATATTATAAAACAGATGGAATGTGGCTTGCAGTGGATATCAGAAAGTGCTTTTTAATCTATTTGGCACTCGTCAACTGGATGTATATGCTCATCCTTGATTTTATAACTATATTAATTTGTGTCATAATAGTTGTATTGAGGAAATCCTCCGTATGCCAACTAATGTTAATCAAATTTCAGTCAAAATATCTATAACGGGACAATCCAAGTCATTTCAAATTGAGTTAATTTATTATAGGTTTGTATTAGTAGGTACTTAATTTATAATGTCAATAACCAGCCTCTGATATGATCCACATTAATTTGATATATACTAAACAGGATGTCAATGATATAAATATCAGAAGCTTTGAGAATATGATATAGTTCTGAGACTGTGTCTCATTTACCTAGACGAAAAAAACAGAAATGATAAAATTTATGACAGAGCTTAGTGGTAATAGTCAGTATGGAGTCATATAGTCAAGAATGAATCTAAAATAAATTTGATTATATTTTCAATGTACGAAAACTTTTAAGAAAACAGTTTAAATCAGGTTACAAATGATATCACATTCAAATAGACTGCAAAATGAACAAACCATGTTTATTACCTACACGTCAGAAAATGATATGTACCTTAAAACTAGTAAACAAAATATCCTACTAATATAAGAGAAAAAATACTTGTTATATTAAAAAGATTTATTCATGTAAATTTTAACTGGAATAGTATACTTACTTACTTGCTTACTTACTCACATTCTTACTTACGAATGCTTACCTCTCCTCGAGAATCATAGGCCACATACTAGCACTCTCCATCCAAACTTATCCTGGGCAAGCCTTTCCAATTATTTCCGGTTGCTATTCATCCTTTCTATGTCTGCTTCCGATTCCCGAATTAGTGTGTTCTCCGGTCGTCGTTTTTTCCGTCCCACTTCAGTATTTCAAGTTGGCGCTTGCCTCGTGATGCAGTTTGGTGATTTTCGTAATGTATGTCCTATCCACTCCCTACGTCTATTCCTAATTTCTTCTTCAGCTGGAAGTTAGTTTGTTCTCTCCCACAGTAGGCTGTTGCTGATGGTATCCGGCCAACGGATATTGAATAAACACTTGTTGTTATGATTTTGTGTCCAGCTTTTTATCACGTGATTTATCCACCAATCAAAATACGGCTTACACAATCTTAACACTATGCCAAACCAATGACGTTCAACCGGTATCAGCAGTCTAGCGTCCTTATTGGTCCTATATCCTCCTAGCCCGTCCACTTTAGTCCAGAACACCAATACCAGCTTCTGAAATATGAATCGAATCGTTTATTTCAGACATACTCGGTTTATATATCAACCAGACAGACCACAACGTACCATAAAATAGAAATTAACATGTGTACACAATAAAGCCAAAAAGTGCCTGTGAACGTGGGAGGCAGTAGTTAATAAACTGAACATAGCTTAAAAACAATAAATCGTACAATAATAAATTATAGGTAAAAATAAAGCTTATAATAAGAGGAATATAAATACCCATAATGTAATTACTGAACAATTATAC